TCTGAACCAGCTAGCGGACCAGCGCCGAGCCGCGTACAAGGAACGGTGGATCCAGGGTGGTAAGCGCATCGGCGAGTTCGAAAACTATCTGAAGACCGGCACCAGCCCCAGCCTGGCGCAGTCCGAAGGAACGCCCAATGGCGTGGCGGGTGAGACGCAACCCACCGCTTAGAGCATCACCAACTCTATTCAAGGCGTACATGCTGTTGCTGGCTTGAAAGGTCCCTCTCCGAGCATGTTACAGACTGCCCGAGTGCGCCAATCCCCCGTAAATCGATATTGTCTTTTCCGCATTATACCTGAATTTCGCGCGATTTGAATCCCGGATCTCTGTGGTAACCGGGAAAAAATTCATCGTCATTTATCGCAATAGAGTTACAAAATATAATATAAAAGGTCACATGGTTATGGGAGATCTTGAGATCATATCCATTGCCCCAACATATACCATACATCACGTGAGGGATAGTGGGGCACTCTATGGCCTTAGGCATCAATATGATAGGAAATGAAGCATCTTCGGTGATAGCGGGGAGGGGTTCGGTTATGGAGTCAAGGACCCCAGCGTCCTTCTATAGAACGGAAAGACAAGGCATCGTTCTCAACTGTTGCCATGGCGAAGACCTTCCCTCCTCCGTCAGTCCTGCTACTCAGCCTGGGTAAATAGTCTCCCACCAATGTACTGTATATAGAGGTGATGTCCGAGGGGCCTGAGAGGTAGGATGGATCGGTCAACAGGTACGGTACTTTGTGTCGGCAGAGGCATCATTCCAGCTGGGAGGATCTATCAAGTGATCTCTCCAGAAACTGGGGTAGATTTATTATCAATCCTTTTCCCTCGACTTCTTAGATTATTACCCCTTCATTACCTCCCTTTATTCTTACTTCTTCTCCATCTTGCACGCTTGCTTGCGAACCATAAAGATTGTTTGTCACGCAACAGTGAACGTACTATATTGGTGCAAGCAAGGGACGTTAGCCCTGAATCCTTAGAGTCGGTTGTAGTAGTTGTTGTTTTTGTTGTTGTCGTTGCACAGACACTGTTGTTGTTTCCTGTTCCTTCTCGCTCGCATTCTCCCACGCCAGTCCGTCTCTCCACACCGGAGCTGTAACTGGAAGCGGTGGTTGAACGCATCGATCAATCATGACGGAGGACTTTCCCCAGCGGCGGCGGCCAGTCCCCACGGGCAGAACCAGCTCTACTTCCGGCCTGCCGCCCTCCACCACTACTGCTTCAACAACTACGCCAACGACCTCCACCATCGACCACCCGCTCTTCTCCTCGGCCACAACGGCGACTGCTACGGCTATTGCTTTCGCATCTCCTACTGCTACAGCTCCGTTTCCTCTCTCCACCACCACCACCACCACCACCAACACTACCTTCCGCCCTCGAACTCGATCCCGGTCGCAGCCCTACCTCCCATCCTCCTCTCTATCCATCGCTCTTCTGTCCTCCCACCCCTCCTCCACCCTAGACCATCGGCCAGTCCGTGCCCACGAAGGAGGTTTCGTGCATCCCGCCTCCTTTCTCCGGCCGCGAGGTCTGTCACAACCAATGCCCCCAGCTCAGCCCGAGAGGGCCATCGATCGGGAAGAGCGTCAGGGCCTAGTGAGTCGCCTTTTCTCTTTCCCCTCCCCCCCGTATTTGCTGCTGCATGATTCATATTCCTCTACCCGTCCCAGCCTTGGTGCCTCAACCCCTCATTCGCATACCCAAATTCACACCCATCTTTTTCTGGGCCAATTCGCCCGTGAATTTGTTGGCAGCCAGACAGCAGTCTTCGATCTGATCTCCGTTTCGTAATTTGCACTTCCATGGGTCCTCAATTGCTTGGATGCAGTGGCTAATATAGTCGTGGATCTGTCTTCTTCATTGTAGCGTGCCATCCGCAACTTCCTCAAAGTCCGTACCAGTTACGATGTGCTCCCCCTTAGTTTTCGACTCATAATTTTCGACACTTCGTTGTCCGTCAAGGAGAGCTTGAACATCCTCATCCAAAATGGCAGGTGTTTCCCTTGTCCGTCTTCAGGCGGGATGACTCCGTCTGCGACTGCGCCATAATCCGGGCGACGTCACAATGCTGGAAGGATCATTTGCTGACCGGAAGGACGTGGTGCTCTGGGATAACAGGTATCGTTTCGGCTCCGTTATGGGACTCCAAGGCCTCGACTTTTGCCGGTCTTTTGACCACCTCCGACTACATCAACGTCATCCAATACTACTTCCAGAACCCGGCTGCGCTGAACCAGATTGACCAATTCCGGCTCGACAGCCTCCGAGGTGCGCAGCTCAACAATTGCTCACAAATCCCCGCAGGGCTGACACTCTAGACAGAGGTGGAAAAGGCGTTGGGCGTCGCTCCTCCCGAGACGATATCGATCGACCCTGAACGTCCCCTCTATGAGGCCTGTCGGCGCATGCTGGAGTCGCGCGCTCGCCGTATCCCCCTCGTCACATACGACAGTCAAACCGACCGCTCTCTCGTTCTTAGTGTTGTTACTCAGTATCGCATTCTTAAGTTCGTTGCGGTCAATGTCCCAGACACCCAGAAGCTGCGCAAGCCGCTTGGTGAGATCTTGTTGGGTTCATACCAGAATGTCGCAACGGCATCCATGGACACCCCTGTCATTGATGTCATTCATATTCTGGTCGAGCGGAGCATATCTAGTGTGCCGATCGTGAATTCCGAGGGTAGGACAGCCTCTCTGTCCGGATCCGGACCTTCAATGCTCGGGTCTCGTGGCTAACTATTTTGGCGCCTTCTAGGAGTGGTCTACAACGTCTTCGAAGCAGTTGATGTGATCACCTTGATCAAAGGCGGGGTGTATGATGATCTCAGCCTAACAGTCGGAGAGGCGTTGAAAAAGCGATCTCCAGTAAGTATACCTCATACTCTGCTTGCGGAATGGGTCGGTTAACCGGCGTTTAGGATTTCCCGGGCATCTACACATGCTCCCTAAACGATGGTCTGGACACCATCTTCGACACGATTCGCAAGTCTCGCGTCCACCGCCTGGTTGTGGTGGATGAGAATTTCCGGCTCAAGGGCGTCCTGACCCTGAGCGACATCCTGCAGTATATCCTCCTTGAGGGCGAAACTGATGAGCTATCATGAATTGATGTTTAACTTCCTGATTTACCCTTTCTACTGGTGCCACAGTGCTGCCAATATACTCACAATTGCATAGGATGGCGTTTCTCATTTGGGCTTAGTGTCGGTGTCCCAGCCTCCCACGAGGTTTGACAGTTTGGTAGCTGTATTTGTTACCAGCTCATGTTTTTCTTTTCTTTTTCTTTATTCCGTCTCTTTCAAACTCACGATGCAAAAGTAAACCTACATGGTATCATACGGGGTCTACACTTGTTCTTCGATCGGTCTCCCACCGCGAGCGGCAAGGGGGCCCGGAACCTAGCATTGGCGCTAGGCTTTGACAACAATAGATTTCATTGCTTGTATGACTCTCTCACACTCTCATGATCTACTCTGATTCGATGTTTCCATTGGCCTGTATGTTGTATTTTTGTACTTGTTCAACTGTAGTGTTCCAGTGGCTTTGCGTTGGAAGTTGACCGCAGGACATGGCCGCTCTTTCCTTTGCTATCACAACCTTTCCTGCTATGTCGACTGAGTAGCTACCATGCTTCAAAGAAGGAGCGGTGGTCTACTTGGAAGTGTGCTATGAGGCCCTCGCATCCGACTTCAACCTGCACTGTGCCTACTACATAGTAGGTATGGTGTACTCCGCAGACCCGGCTCAGTGGCTCTTATGAGATCCCCAGCTATAGCGTTACTTCATCTTCATTTAGAGCAATGGGCACTTTGGAAGATACTTCAGCCAACCGAGGTCGTCGGAGTGAGCCTGTCAAACGCACATTCTCTGTGAACCGAACCCAGCTATCCTCTGGGACTGCGACTACTACCACAAATGATAGCACTGAGGACCAGGCGCAGCCGCTCTTCCGCCAGCAGCAGAGTCCAGTTGCACCGGCTGAGTCACTCAAGCAACAGCAACATTTGCGAAGTTCGCGAAGTTTGCGACGACTTACCAATCTCAAAAGTCTCTTTCGCTTTCGCAAGTCGCGGCCACCGGATCTATCGCTGAATCCATTACTCGAGCTTCCGACCAGGCCGGAGAACGCCAGGAATCTAGCCAGCGGGTGCATACTAAGTCGAAGCATTGTGGAGAGTTATTGTGCGGAATCTCCATCAAACCCGCAATGCAGCGGTCAAGCAGACGAGACTGGCGAGGCCCGCAAGGTGAGTGACAACACGATGTACTCTCTCCATTCGGACCAGACCAGCGCGACGGTGTGCCACGATCCCTCCAAGCGTCTTTCCATGCCCATCGCCCTTGCAGACCCATCTCTCTGTCAGAACCCATTCACAGATCCTGAGAATCTGGTGGACGACTCAGAAAGCAGTCGGAACCACGCAAGGAATCAGACTCGGTCCACAAGACAGTCTAGCTTTGAATCGAGCCAGACGGGAGTCTCGTCGACCTACGACGATACCGAGAGTTTCCAGCGACTAGCCAACCCGTTTGCCGGAGGTAGTTCAGTCGAGTCGGGATGTTCCTCACGGGTCAGTTTCTATGTCTCCACCTCGGATGATAGTTCTGTGATTGCAGAGATCGAACGGCGCGCCGCCGTGTTGGAATTCAACGAACTGGTCCAGAAGCTCCGTCTCCCGCCTCTTCCGATGAACAACAGCAAGGGGGCAGAATCCGGCGATGGATCACATTCCCAGTTATCGGGTTCGCGCGGACAATTCCAACGGGATCAATGCTTGGTTTATCTAGCTGACTGGGTGCCAGGGCAGCTTCCCCCCACCACCGCTGGGGAGAAGATGACTACTGGACGGCGCGACCGACTCTATGGTCGACTACGTACGATGCGGTCGACCCTGCAACTGGGCTTTTCGTCGGAGGGACCCCGCACCACGCGGACTTTACGCCGGATGAAGACGTTGGCGCATGTGGGCACTCGGGTGAACGAGATGACTTCACTGACGGGGGTGTCACTGGAGGAATTGGCGCGTCTCGGGGGCTATAATTTACTCACGCTGCCGGCCGAATTTGCGCCTATGAAACTCCGCCTCCCGGTATGTTTTGTAGCTACAATTACCATTTTGGGTCGATTTGGTAGGTCCTGGCCCCATCTATACCCCACCGGGGATGCGCGAGGTGCATGAGGTGGAATGGTCTCGCTCATCTACGTCATTGCTCCAGCTGCCCCGGTGCGCGACGTGTTTGTCGATCCCGGCCATCTGAAAATGGCAATGCGAATCTACGACCATTTCGCCCGGTCGGTGCTCGCCGCCCTTCGAGAGCCCGATCGAATCCAGATGACGGTTGGCCGTAGTGACCTACCCCTAGCGGTGATCGAGCCTAGTGCTCGTACGATGGACGACACAATGGTGCAAAGCATGGCACGGGCATTCCTGGCACTACTGGCGGGGCTTCCCGGAGGGCTCCTGGGATTACCGGTACTATATCGAGTGCTAGTGGGCATCAGCCAAGCACCCCTGGTGGATGACGACGTCGAACGGCGTCGCAGCTGTCTTGGAGGGGTTTCGCCGCAAGATTACGTCAAGGTCAAGGCCATTGGGCTGGCACTGCTGGCCCTGACGAACACCATGCAGCTGCACCTCATCTGTGGAGTGATTGGCCTCAGCGCCCTGCTCCTGCATGAAACGCAGCGCCTAGCGCAGGAGGAGGCTCCGCGCTCTGTCAACAATGAGAATGGACGGCGGACGGGTGGTGGCCCGGGACCGCTGACGCTGGACCGGCTGGGTCGCGTGCTCGGGCCGTTGCTCACGGGGAGAGAGGGGTCTGGCGACACGTTCGGATCTATCGCCCAGGAGATTGAGCGCGAACGAGTGGTGGTGATGCTCGTGGAGCACTGGCGAGGGATCAGTCGTCAGCTGCGCATCTGGGAACATCGCAACCTGCCGAGGCGGCGGCGGCGATCCGCCCAAATGGGACGTGCAATGATCTCCTCCAAGGAAGTGTGTTGCTGAGGCGATTCTGAGGATCGGGGGATATTTCCGGGGGCAGATGAATGTTTGCTGGTCGGACGATACTTGTAGAAAGAAAAGTCAGGGCGATAGAAAGTTTGGTATGAAGTCATCGGGGATCCGCATCAGGGGAGGATGGGCGACGCTAGTGGAATGGGGGTGTGAGCAAAGGTACCCATAGAGTCAGTACTTTGGGCCGCCGCCGTATCTCGCCTTTATGCTATTTTATTTTTTTTTTCTTGTTGCCAGGAACTGTATAGTATGTATTTGATATTGACAGGGTGGCCCAGTCGCCGAGTTGTTAGTGTCGTCCGTAGTGGAGACCTTGAGTGAGCGGGTTTGAGAGCGGGCAGGAAACTATATTGGTAAAGCTCCGCTGGCCATGGGACGGCCCCAGCAATCGGACAAACCACGGTTAGCCCATTGAATTTGACCTTCCGGTTGTATATTGGTTGTTTGGGGGTGGAGGAAGAAGGTATCAACGGGTTCGTGCGGCCATTAGATCCAGCGGATAGACGGACTATCAAAGTTTTTCCCTGTTCCTTTCTTCTCAGGTCTACGCTTATTGAACCGAATCCCAGAACATCCCGTCGGGTATGGGCGGGAGAGGAGAGAGTGGGCGCGAGTGTCTGAGTTTTGTTGAGTGGTCTTTGCGAAGCCAAACCAGGTTTTCCGGACTTGGGCGATGTACAGGGAGAGGAGAGCAGAGAGGAGAGGGAGGAGGGGGAGGGGAGGGGGTGGGGGGGGCGGGCATTGATTGCTTGCTCAAGGGAAGCGGGCCGCGTGGGGGACATGTGAGAGACAGAGTAGACGAGAGCAGGGAGCAGGGACTAGAAACGAAACTGAACGACTAGAAGGGGGCGCTAGGATTTGGGAGAACTTGGCTTCGGCTTCCATTCAGCTCTATCAATTTACTTTCGAGGACTTTTTGACTTGTACGTTCACACGGGTCGATCACGGCCTGGTGAGTCGTCGGATGGTAGAGCCGATGCGGGGGAAGAAGGGATCTTTTGATCCTGGTCCTTGTAGAACCTGTTGAGTTGGCGGGCTGATCGGAGGGCGGGAAAGCTGATCATCGGTTGATTTTTCTTGCTTGCTTGCTTGCTTTATCTTTCGATGTGGATGACGATGACGATGGTGGTATTGGCCTTGGTGCTTTTGTTGGATCCATTGATTGATCCATTGACTGATTCTTGGAATACACAGTAGGTGAATGGATGGATGGATGATTCAGCATTAAGGACAGTATTATACCGTTCTCAGGCTGGTGGATGCTGCCGCACGAGTCATTTGGTACATGCATTATACAACGTACTGTACCTCCAGACAACCTGAATCTACCAGCTTTACCAGCCAGCTTTACCATGGTTTGGCAAGCAGCGACGAGGAGCGACGGCAGACGAGTGTCATTGGCGGATTGAGGTCCGCTCAGCCAAGTGGGCCCGGATTGGTTGGCAGGAAGATGGCTCCGGGTAGCCTCAACCGCCAATCAGCAGGCAGGAAACCCCGTCGAAAACCTCAGGCAGTCATGGGAATCACGCTTGATTGCAATGACGTGGTGGTGTGGAATCGAATGGATGGCCTGGTTCTTCAGGACCTCCACCTGCCGGATTCAGATAGCTACGGTACTACAGTATACGTGAGTACTCGTACTCATGCTCCAGCAAAGCACATGTGATGTCAGTTCCCAGGGTTCCTTCTTGGCTTTGGCTGCTGGGGCCTTTCGGTCCAGTCCAGTCCAGATTCTAGCCTTCTGCTCCTCCCCTTCTTCCCTTCCAGCCAAGGTTCGCTGCATATCCACGGGCCATTGCAGTTGCTTTCCCTCCCTCCCTCCGTTTCTTGACACATTCCAGGGCTCCTTCTAAGATTGCCTCAAACAGGAGGGATCGACATCCGTGTTTCCAGACTACTGCTTGTCTGCAGGCAGTCAGTCAGTCTCGAACTGTCTCTACTGTCGGTTGTCTTGTCTGCTTGCTCTGCTTGCTCTGCTCTGGTCTATTGCGGGTGTGTTTGGGCTTGGTAGGTATCACAGGTCTTGATACTGTTCCAGTCTTTCGACTCTTTTTCTTCCCCCCTCCCCCCCCTCTCCCCTCTCTTTCTTCTGTTGTACTCCCTTTCTCCTCAACTTCACTTCACTTTTATTCCTTCTCTTCTGCTTTCTTCCCCTCCCACTCAACTGCGTGCCTACTACCACGACTGCAACAACTGCTACTATTACTACACTACTACTATACGATTATCTCCTATACCTATCCTCTCACTGTCATCACTCTCGCTTCTCTCGGACCTCCACTCCCTCACTCACTCGTTCACTGATTCACTCACTATTCATCCACCCACATACGACTGGTTACACCCACCCACCCATATACTCCCCTCCCATCCCGCCCTCCACTCACACTCTTTACACTCTACTCGACACTCCGGATCACAATGAATCCCAACTTCAGCCGGTACTCACGGAACTCGCACGTGCGAAACGGACAACCCACCCCACCTCCCTACGATGAAAACAGGCGAAACAAGCGAAAGCTCTCGGAGATTGACGTCGAATATTCAATGCAACAATACCAGCCACAACTTCAGCAGCAGCAGCAGCCACAACAGCAGGCACAACGGCTGTCTCAGCAACTTCCCAGCCCTCCCCACGATGAGGAACAGGCCAAACGGGATCGCTTCCTAGAGCGGAACCGCATTGCCGCCAGCAAATGTCGGCAGAAGAAGAAGAAGCTCAACGAGCAGCTGGAGCGCCAGTTTCTCGAATTGCAAGCCAAGAACACCGAGCTCAGCACAGAGGTCGAGGACCTTCGTGCCGAGGTGATTGCTATGAAGAACGAGTTGCTGAGGCATAGCGAGTGTGGAGACCCGGCCATCGCCCTCCATCTCAGTCAAATGGTCCAGAACATCACCGCCAGGGACCATGCGGCTGCAGACCGTCGGTCCGCCGAGATTTCCGAACTGCTGATGATGGGCGATCATGCTGCCGCGACTACTGGGACCAGGGTATCTGTTTCTTCCCTGACCAACTCCCCTCCTGGTCTCTCCACCTCCAGGTCGGTTAGTTCGTCGGGTTCCTCCGGTCTCTCTCCTGATGCCGCCGCTGCCGCCGCTGCCTTCGGCTTTGATAGCCCTCCTCTGAATATCATGCCATTCGCCAACGGCTCCGTTGGCAACAGCAACGACACGAACAGCAGCATCAAGACGGCCATGGATGCCTCATTGGACACGATGCCTGGATACGAGTTCCTCGAGGATCTTGCTTTAATGGACTGAATCATGACATGGGATCATATATGTTGCCGGCTACAGCTCATCCCGGCTCTACTGCATAGCGGAAGGCCTTCTGATCGATTTATTTGATTTATTGCGTCATTGAAAAGCCAGCGGGAGTTTATGACTGGTACATCACATCTGCAAGGCGGGAGGATGTGTAGGTGTTTTTTTTCTGTCTGGGAGACCTTTGAAATTGGTGGCAGTGGGAGGCTCACTGATTGAGGGTTGTTGCTTTTTTCCTCTTAGCGAATTGCTTTGCTTTTGTATGGGCCAGGTGTTTTTGACTATTCTTCAAGCGGGTTTGGGGATACGGCGTTCTACGGGAAAAGGCAGACAAGCATACGGGAAAAGTCACTGCCAGGGATGGGGGGTTTTTGTTTTGTGTTGGCTGAGGAGTATTGCTATTGCTAGTTGAAACTTCATCATCATGGATGTACGGGATGAGGATGATAGTGCTAGCAAGATTGCTATCAAACTTATTAGAGTCTAATCAACGGACTTGGTGATATCTTGGAGGTGCATTTCTTTACGGCCGAAGTATACGATAAGGTTAGTCTAAGTAATGATCGTCGAGTCATGGTCAGAGACCCCCGAGTAGAACTCTATAGACATTTAGCTAGAATCTAGTCCACATTCTATGAGTAATTTCACAGTACATGAGTACCACTTACATGTGTAGAAAGTTTACCCTTGAGAATCACCGATCATGCGGAATTTGACCCGGATGAGCTTCCAGAAAAGCAATTACTGAGTACTACGGAGTAGAAGCAAACTAGTTGCAGTTGCCACCTTCATATCTTTCCAAGAGTCTGGCTGTCTTTGTTTTTGTTTTGTTTTTCTGTTTTTTTTGCGTTTTTGCTTTTTCTTTTCTTTTCTTTTCTTTTCTTTCCTTATTTTTCTTTTTTTGGGGGGGGGGGCCATGTATTCTCTGGCATCAGAATCCCAGTGTGAACTGTGGAGCCCCGACCCGGAAAATCCCAGAAAACAGGGTTCCAATCGACCACCCCAAACCGCTGATGGCGAAGGAGAAGGAAATGGAGACCAGGGGCAGATCGAAAGAAGCGGTTGTTCCCGCCGACGTCATTTGGCTTTTCGGCTGTGGTGACGGTGACGGTGACGGGTTTATTTTTTTTGGGATTGATCGATCGCTCATCCAGTGTTTTTGATTTTGGTTTTAGGTTTGGGATGACATACATAGTAGTACTGTACTGTACTGTACATAGTACTGAGTACCACTTATTCTGAAAGTACTTGGTAGGTACTCAGTAGGGTTCTAGTCGAGTCTGCCAGGGTCACTTGGTCTGACAGTTCCAAAGTTCCTTTCCTAGTTCGCGGATTTCTGGGGCTCTGCTCTCTGCCTGGGCTAACTTAGCCTTTGAGGGGAATTCACGGAGTAGTAACTTACGTGTAGGAAGGTAGCTTAGGGCACGGCACTATGCACTACTAGTACAATCCAGAATCATTTGGTCCTCTGTAAGTGTATGGAAGTACTCGAGTCGAATCCAGTCTGGCCTTATCTATATTTCAAGGACTGTGCAAATTACAATCTTCTATTGTCTAGTTATAGTTAGGATGTTAAGTAGTATAGAATCCAGATTAAGCGCCTTTTTAGATCCCCCCTCCCCCCCACCCCACCGGATTTGGGAAATCCAAGTTTGGAGGGCGTATTTACAGGGGTTCCTCCTTCCAAGGACGGAGGCGCTAGTTGACTTATAATTGGGTGGACCTGCTGGGTGGATTATATCTCAACGAACTGAAGTGTTTCTTTCTTTCTTTTTATGTGTAGTACTGCCCAGTGCCCTCGGGGTAGCCCCACCCTCACCCACACCAACCACTTGGAGTACTGTATATAAGTGCTTTGTGACGGGATAGTATCCTACAGAGTAGTATGAGGTATGCTGTTTTTTCAATCCCCAAACTACATTTAGCGAAAGGGTGAGGGAAGGCGGGGGAGTATTCTTGGGCACCCTGGGATACCAGTTGTAAAGGTAGGTAGCTCGGGGAGAGTTTGCCCTAACTAGATCGCATAGTGGATGGAACCGATCTTCGAGACGGGGTTTTTTTTACTTCTGGCATTTGAAGACACTGTAAGGTAAGGTACAATATTGATGGATTGGCTTCTCAGAGTATCTTTTCTTTTTGTAAACGGATGATAAGTTCTCTGAGTACCGTGCGTTGAGTTTCCCTCGACAGCTATCCATCAGAGCTAAGAAAGCACAACTCTGGGTTATATCTAGTCCGCCTGGCCTGCAGAACCACCTCGGCGTCCTCCCCGTTCACGGCGCCCAAACACTCAATCAGACCATTCGGGATCGGTGACGGTGGCTCTATTGGATCAGTCATTATACCTCAGCGAATTTTCTTGTGAAAACAGATATATGGGTGTGGATTGAGATGTGCTTAGCTAGTCGAATGAGAGAAGGTGGTTATCACGTGACCCGAGATATCTCACAGGGCTATCTATCTTCATTTCTACCGAGTTCAAATAAAGAACTGTCAAACAAAGAATCTATATTCCCCAGATGGCTTACAAGCATACACATATGTCACTAGTACAGGCAATCTATAAACCTTTCCAATAAAATTTATCCTTCCTCTGTGTTCTTCACAACCTCTCCGTTACTAGTAGTCACTCCATCTAAACATAACCCCATATGCCGGTCTCTAAGCAGCAGCAGCATCAAAACCGGAACCGTAACCGCTCTACTTATCATCATCCTCCTCCACTATTTTGGAACAGCCTCCCGAAGCTGTGGTTGACTAAAAGCGCTTTGAAAGAAACTCACCGACAAAATCAACTGCTCTGTCCAAGTCAGACCTCGTTTCTCAACTCTGATACCTTTGCCTCTGATTTCTTACGTGGTTGCTCTGCTACTTCTTTACAAGAGATCAGAAGATCTTCCCGCTATGGAGGACAAGATCTAGCCGATATTAAGTATATCAGTTATTTCACCACTCTTATTTGCTTCCCTTGATACCGATTGATAGAGCAGAAATGTAACTCAGAAGCTTTGCATCTAGTAGGATCCTGCACCACCCCACCTCTCTCAATCCTCTATAGATCCTACCAACTCCAACCCAGCCCCACTGACTGGAAAACCCACTGTCTATGATCGGAATTTTGAGGAACATCTACTTGACCACGGTGTTTTTCTCCCATTATCTACGGATCCCGATGGGACGGAGCCGGCCGAACCAGCGAATTTGGCCCAGATACACAGGAGATTAGAGGCTCCACGACCATCGCGTGTATTATCACCGGTCTCATTGAAGAAGGAATACAAGGAATACACCAGAGTCAATAGCAGAGCCGTGGATGAACAGCTAGTGATCAAGGATATCCTGCCTATTCTTGAGGGCAAACCAATTACTGCTTCCACTTCTTCTTCTTCTTCTTCTTCTTCTTCTTCTTCGTCCCAGAATGCCGGAGGACACGACTTTACGAATCTGGCCCCGTTGACCGACGGGACGTTGGCCCATGCGAAGCCCGATTTCTACTACGGTGCACGATCCCACCAGCTCGAGCCGGCTATCCAAAAGCAGCTGAGTGACCAGATCATACCATCCATCCAAGGCAACCGCCCCGTAGCGCCGAACTTTCTTGTCGAGGGACAAGGTCATTATGGGTCCGTTCCTGTCGCTATGCGGCAGGCTTGTTACGACGGTGCTCTGGGCGCGCGAGCGCTATATTCCCTCCAGTTTTGGGGAAATGGGAACGGGACTACTGGTGAATGCAGACCGACATATGACAACCAAGCCAATACTCTGATGTGTACGTATCATGGTGGATGTCTGGGCATGTACGCGACCCATCCTACCAGGTTTAGGAGCAGCAACAACAACAACAACAACAACAACAACAACAACAAGTCTTCTACGGATTATGTGATGACCCAAATAGGGCAATGGGCATTACACGGGGATCCCGAGACCTATCAGCGGGGCGTGACTGCTTATCAAAATGCGCGGGACTTGACTGCTGAATATCGAGACTCGCTGAGCAAGCAGGTGAACAATATTCGGCTGGTCAAGATTACCAATGCCCTTAATCCCAGCCCAACCAGGGATTCTAGCCGGGAGTAACTAAGCCGGGTTGATATTGGGCTTTTGAGAGGTGGGTGAAAGTGCCTACCTAGTAGGTAGAAGGATCTGTCTACTGCCTGTCCTGTGTTTGGCAAACTACTTGTAGTAAGTAACTTCCAAGTTCCAGGTATCTGAAGGTATTCAGCAAACACCACACACACACACACACACACACACGCAATTAGCCAATTGGCCAGTAAGTGTTGGTACATACCTACCTAGTCGACTTAAGGTTTTTTTTTTTTTTTTTTTTTTTTTTTTTGGGCCAGAATGTACAGTACAGTACTAATTGTATTCCGAGTGAAACCTTTCCAGGTTATGCAGTGTAGTATAGATTTACTGTGTTAACAAGAAGGAAGTTAGTGTACCTTATGTAGTAGCCTTGAATGACCTTTACTAAAGTTACCGTGGACACACGACCGACTTTCCCCTCCCCCTTTCGGCCGACCGAAGATCCGCCGTTGTGTTGCCCCCGCCGGGCTCAAAAGTTCAAGGTTGGAAAAAGAGGTAAAACTTAAGCCATCGCAAACCTTACTTTGGACTTTGGACTTGTGAATTGTTCCCCCATATCGAGGACTGTAACTTCTTTTTCAAAATGTACAGTACAGTACAGTATGGCTTTACACCTCACCTAGACTAGAGGCTGCTAGGCTATAGTACCGTGCTTGACTTCTAGTGTAGCTTACCTTAGCTTAGCTTAGCTTGGCTAATTTATTTAGTATTTACTTACTTACTTGATAGTTATCGTTATCGGTCATGAGAGTGCCAGGATGGAGGCCTTGTTGTTGTTGTTGTAGGGCGATAATTTGGGATTCAAACTACAGTGGATGTTCCCGGATGGATGTATAGCTTGATTTGGGCCGTTGGCGTTGGCGTTGGCGTGGGCTGGGCTGGCGTGGGCTGGGCTGCCCTGGGCTGGAACTGGAACTGGAATTAAATTCGGCTGGTGGGGGTCGGCGGGGGGGGATTTCGTTCTAACTTTCGCGCTCTGGCTCCCGTCGGCCGGACGTCGGGCTTATCTCTGTGTTCTTCTGTGCTTTGCGGTGGTTTGGGATGATTTGGGTGGGGTTCGTGGCTTGGGGTTATCATACTTAGGGTGGTGGTTGAGGAGTTCCGAGAACAAAATCGATCAATGAGTAGATTGAATGGCAGAGGAAGGGGAGGGAGGGGTTATACCTCGATGTAACATTTCTTCTGTTCTGACTTTCCCTCGTTCGTACTTGGCCCTATCTATGGTTTCTTCCTTTGTCTATTTTGATTTCGAATTTCTCGAGACGGAAAACACGAGGATAGACCGAGATCGCGGTGCAAATACAACTCTAAACAACCATCTCGACACTACTCCCTGCCTCCGGCTTCATAACCCGCAACTGCAAACAAAGAATCAATCTCCTCCAACCGCATCCCCCTCGTCTCGGGCAAAAACCCATACACCAGCCCCGCGAACCCCGCATCCAGCACCCCGAACAGCCCAAACGTCCCCCACCCCAGCCATTGCAGCAGGTACGGCGTCGCGGATGACCACCCGAAGTTCGACAGCCACTGCGCCGCCACCCCGATCGCCACCCCGGGTTCGCGGATCCGCGCCGACGAGAAGAGCTCCGCGCTACACGGCCAGGGAAGAGGACCCCAGGACAGGTTGTAGGCTACGATGCTGAGGTAGATCAGGAGGATGGTCGTGAGGGAGGCGGGCGAGAGCGAGGAGGATCCATGGCTGGGATCAGGGTCAGGGTCAGGGTCATGGTTGGAACCGGCAGATGATGACGACGGCGACGAAGCAATCGAGGTGGCTCGCAGAACAACCGCCGTAGCAAGCATGCACACGGACATGGCCAATGCACCCAGAATCAGCAGCGGCCGACGGCCGAAGCGGTCGGCGACAAACACGATGAACAGCAGGCAGCTGATCACCTTCAAAACCCCAAATATCCCCGTCAGCAGCAATGTGAGGCGGGCAGTGGCGTCGGAGGCCGCAGAGACATCACTGTGGCCCCCGACGAGCAGGGCGAAAAACTGCGGGCCGAAGTAGGCCATGGCGGTGGCCCCCGTGGACTGCTGGCAGATGAACAGGGCGACGCCCAAAATCAGCCGATGCGTGTTGGCGCGCTGGAGGAGTTCCCAGGGAGAAAAGTCGGCCGTCGCGTGGGCGTCACGCTCAATGGCCGATTGCATGGCCCGGAACTCAGCCTTGACCTCGGGTCCGCGCGAGGCGCGGATCCACGTCAGGCTATCCCAGGCTTGGTCGGGGCAGTCGTGGGAGAGCAGCCAGCGCACGCTTTCGTGCAGAGTCAGCATGCCAACGCCCATCAAAGCGCCCGGGATGAGCTGCAGAGCCAGGGGGATCTGCCACTGTGCGGCGTTGCTGGGCGCGTACTGCATCCCGTAGTCGATCCAATACGAAATCAGGATGCCGATCGTGAAGGTGAATTGGTAGCAGCTGCCCAGCCGGGCACGCATTGAGGTTGGACTCATCTCCGTCAGATAGATCGGGATTACGGTGGCGGAGCCTCCGATACCCAGGCCGCAGATGACACGTCCGAGGTAGAAGGCAGACCGAGCATGGGTGTCGAGGATCTCGAAGATCACCCCTGCACAGAACACAAAGGAGCAAACGGCCATGGCAGGGCGACGACCGAGTCGATTGGTTAAGGGCCAGATGACCAAGCTGCCAACCAGGGCACCAGCCTGCTGGACGCCCACGGCAATGGCACTGACGCGAGTTTCGTTTTTCGCGGTATATCGAAAAGACCGATGGAAGGAGTCGAAGGTCAAGACCCCTCCTGCGTGTATGTGTCATTCATATGGCCTTGCCCCGTGGGATAGAGATCAAATACCGATTACGCCAGAGTCGTACCCGAAGAGCAGACCCCCGCAGCAGACTATGGCCGTCAGCCAATACAGACGGCACAGGGCATGGCGGGACGGCAGCAGAGCAGATGATTCCTCGTCTGCATGCTGGATGAGAGGATCCTCAGGACGGACATCATCCTCCGTTATCAAGACAGAAGACCGCATCATGGGCCATACCCAGCAAACCAGACACCCGGCGCGAATGAGAGATATATGTCTGGGATTATGACAAGAAGTAAGGAGGTCTTTCGCGGAGATTGCGAGTCAGATGACGTACCGGCGCTTACGTGTTGCATGCGGCGATCGTGGCGCCGATCATGATCGGCTATTAATCAGATCATCACGAAGGAATCAGTAAACAATTCCCGTCGCACACAGCGTGAATCCGCCCACGTTCGCGATGCATCCTGCCGTCTAGTCATCTCCTGCAGCAGGAGATACACATTTTCTGCATGCGGGTGTCGCGCGGGTCGAGATTGGTCCTCACCATTCTCACCTCGCAGGCTCATCTGCTTCATTTGCGACAGGATCCATTGCCGCTGCTCCAAGGATGCCTCTAAGCCGGCCACAAACAACGGCCACACAAAACTCGCAGGCAGATGTCGCTGCTCTCCTGCAGGGGACTGTGTGTCGATTGCTGCCAGATGAAGGATGCCCTCCACGGCTCGATGCACTCGGTCCGTCCGCGGATAGATGGCGAATGCGACGCGGTGCAAGTAGATGAAGATCGCCAGGAAATTGGCAATGTACTGCCTGAAAGTCCGGCATGTTTCCCGCGCAACCGCAGGCTGTAGAGTATCGTGGAGCAGCTCCGGGGTGCTGTGGATGTCGAGCACGCGTGGACGTCGGTTCCAGAGCGTTTCCAGGTCGGCGCTGATCTGATGCGCGAGCTGGAGAACCTCGAACTCGTCGCTAACAGTGCCGCGACTCCGGTGGTGTAGGTCTATGCACACAATTCGCCGGAGAATCTGTTGCGTCTGCAGATGGAATTGAAAGGCCGGATTTGTGACCGTTTCACGGATGAGGAACCCAGGCTCGGGGCTTTCCTCATTCTCATACTTTGCAGTATCGCTTTCCTCAAGCGGTAGGTCTTCAGTAACCCTTCCTGCTGGTGCAAGACTCCCCAGGCCAACAAGCGGATCGCCCTCACGCCCGGCTATCAATGCCTTGACGTCTAAGAGCGAGACCCAGGAACTGGTCAGGCGGCTCACGCCCTTCCAGGACCTAGTCCGACCATGAAAGCGTTGTAGTAGTAGATAGGCCGAGTGGAGAAAGGACGTGCCCGCTTCCCCCAGATCTGGACTCGACAGTAGCTATTTGGTGAGCCCACGATCCTGCAAGTCTCTAAAGAATCACCTACCTCAGCCACCATCAATAGCAGCACCGTTGCAAAAACGTGCCTGAGCACCGGCTCTGATACCTTCCCGACTAGACATGACTGCACTTCCGACCACGCTAGCTGATGATACCTCGACTTGCGGTCCCACGCCGTCCCCTCGAGCCACGTCTGATGTACCTCCGAGTAACAGTAAATACCAATTAAGACAGCTCGACATTCTCGCGACTGACGCACGATTTGTGCCCGCACATACGTCCAATCCAGGTCAACGGGGCCAAAGATTGTAGGCGGCGGATCGCTGGTCTCGAAATGCGTGAACAGCTCCGCTTCGTACGGCGTCTGTTCCCGGTCGGGGGCATCTGTCTCACCCGAAGAACAATCGCCCAGTCTGCCAGGAGTCAAGCTGATGTCCGCGCTAGCAGCCCAGTTCATCGATTGTGCATTGTAGCTGGTGGAATCTGTAGAGGTAGCGGCACTGGCCAGCCCAGATCCCGCCGACAAGCCAGTGAGCCCATTCGTGGTTAGATCGAGGTGCTTCTGCTGAAAGTCAGAGGTAAACTCCCCGATGAAACCGAGGATGTCGAACGAGGAGGCATAGTCGGTAGCTGACTCGATAGGTGGATGGGCAGGGGCTGGCTGCCGCAGTGGTGATGGGGCTGGAAGTCCGTTTTCACAGAGGACAGTGTGGAAGAAGTTCACGTCGGGACGGTCAGAGGGTGGTGTTCCAGCGGCCACGGTTGCGGAAGCTGCAGAGCCATTTCGATAGGGAACACGGCCCGGGACGATGGTCTTATAGGTACATTGGAGATGCAGACGAGTGCAGTTCGCACATGTCGGTTTGACCTCATCGCACCGCACCTTGCGCGACCGGCACGTCAGACACCCCGTGCGGCGGCGAGGACCTGATCGGCCCATGCCACGTGCTCGAGGAGTCTAGCATAGTCAGTATACGGTCTTGTGAGATACGCTGTTAGGAATTCGCGAGGAAAGATACCTCCATGACTTATAGATCTGGAATGGAGCATGCATGATGGTTGCCTATTGGCGTCGAAGCGCAGATGTGAAGCGGGACTGACGATCACCCAGCGTGGGTTCAGCAATCGTCGCCGGGAACACCCGCCACGGACCGCGCTGCGTCTACGGAACAACAAGGGAGCAAGGAACGGTCCATACGTAAGGTGGATGTATTTACTGGAATCATGACTTCTAGATGACATAGGAATGTCCTGCTTTCTTCACGGTACTCTATGATAGAGCACCTCTCCAGGTAGGAGCCGCTTCTTGTCCCCACCGAGGCAGTTCGACGTATGGAGCAAATGTCCCCGTTCCTTGCGCACATACGCCGCAAAACAAGCTGCAGCCATCGCGATGGCACCATAACTGATATACACTGGGTACTTAAACTGTTCCGGTGAGGGGAAGGCGATGGTAGTGGCGAATGATAGCAACTCGAAGATGTTTTGTAGTGCCATTTCCGTCGCAGAAAACCGAGCCCGGCATTCTTCGTCGACTCCCTGCTCTTGTCAGCACTGCACTTCTTTCTAGCAATGGAACTTCTTACCTCCTGCACCAGAAACTGTACGGACAAATCGAATCCCCATAGCCCGACCCGACTTAGCGCCACGCCCACGATCAGACTGACAGCGACCACCTGAGAAGAGGGGTCGAGCAAGGCAAAGGCCGCCACTGCTGTCACCAGACAGACGAATTGCCAATTCAAGAACCACAGCCCAGACCGTATGGGTCCGATTCTATTCATGATGAATGGCGCCGCCCAGGTCCCGGATAGCTCCGCCGCTACAGCACCAATTCTCATCGCGCTGACTTGCAGTGGAGTGAAACCGGTATGGAGCAGGTAAGTGACCATTGTCGCGCCAAAAGACAAAACCGTCAGATAGAGAAGACTCAAAGCAAAACTGGCTAGGAAGAGGGGACTTCTAATGTACTCTTTCCAGGGAGCAGCAGCGTCTTTGATCTGCCGTTGGAATCGCTGAGCTGCGCTCCGAGTTTCACTCGCACTGCCCAGGACGCCCTCCGATCCAGCAGCTGACACATTACGCCGCAGCTGAGAAACTGAAGCGTAGACCTGGAATCGGTGAGCGATGATTCGGATACGAGATGACCCTGCATACCTGTGCGATGGCAACATATTCAACAGCAACGCAAGACACATTGATGCTTAGGGTTGTCCATACAGCAGCTTTGGTGGAAAATCCGTCAATCAGCGAAATGAATATGGGGGCTATGAGCTTGCAGAAAAGATCTATTCTTCTCATAGACGCGTTGAGATCTACCCATTTAGCCTACGTCGAGCCAGATCATGCCAGTGGGCACCTACCTTGACGAGGAACATCCAATGCATCCGCCACAACAATGGCCTGCGCAGAACGTCAGGAAATACCATAGGATCGTGCATCGTGCATATCATGAACTCACCCAATCCCGCTCCACTGCTACCGTATTGGCTGTAGCGGCTACTTTCTCAAGACAGGCCAGCACCACTGTCGTTAAGAAGAGCAGGCTTCTCAGGATCGAGTGCGATGAAGCGATTAAGACCACAAAGCAGGCACAGGAGCCCGCTACGGGGAGTCGCTGCCAGACTAGGATGCTATTAGCACACTACCGATTGAGAGGTAGAGATCCATCTGCGTACCGATCGAATGTCTAAGCGCAGTCAATCGATTGGATCGGTCCACAACCGAACCGAGCCATGATGACAAGACAACCGCCGATAAGGACCGCACGAGCGCATAGATTGAGGCATACAGCAGGGTTCCGGGGAAGATGGACGCCAGGAACAGCACCGCGCCGAATTCAAACATGCGGGAATTCCATGTCGAGAGAAAATGAGAAATGTAGAGTCGTAGCAGAATTCGTGATGAAGCTCTCGAGGACATCGTCTCTGGGCTCACTAGTCTGTCGATCAGTGGTTCGTGAGAAGTTGAAGAGACCGAGGTCTCGACTAGTTCGATAGTGGACGGGACCATAGCGAGACCTTCAATTGCAGGATGGTCGCACGTCACGCAAACTACTTTCTAGAAGTTCTATTATCAGGACATCGGAAACTGACAGCGTAGATGGCGGACTTGTAGAGTAACGACTGGTAACCTCGAAAATGCACGGAGGACTTGGAAGAAAGGTGGAGCGGAGGCTGAATCCCGAGTGGGCTGAGGAAAGAGAATGAAAGTAGCCGTGGTTCGTTCGCCCGGTGAGGACCGCGGGAGCCTAATATACTGTGCGGCAGATCCATGGACATGTACAGTATTGTACACAGCATCGTTCAACATGTACTACCTCGAACCGACGCATGGAAATCGATTCAACAGAAATTTATGCTCACATGTCATTCATAAAGCTGTCTAAGAAACTGCCCGCAACGAGACCAGCACCGTTGACGAACTTTTCATGAAGAAGTCCCCCGGGTCACTACTCTCCGACTCAGCGTTGTAAGAGAACGGGTTGGCAGCAATACCCGCAAGGCGAAAGGCATATGAAGACATGAACCCGCTCCCTCACATGCATTGCTAAGGTATGATGTTCAAAAATGTACAGCAAACACGATAAAGTTTTATATCCAGATAGGCAGCAGGCAAGCGGGGGGCAAGAAGAGTGGATGAGAAGGATAGATGCATCGCGATTCCTGTCACGAGGGAGATAGAACAATAGGAAGACATTAGAGCGCTGGGAATAAGATTTGAAGCTTTCTTGTCTTCGCCCGCCGACTATGAAAATACCCTCACACATGAATCCGCACTTCCAGTGGCCAGGATACACCGGATCTTCTTGTTCGCCTCCTGTCTTTGAGCCCCAGGACCAGCCTCAGTGGTCTCTTCTGTCACAGCATCATCCGTCACCACATCGGGAGCCCACCTGATGCAGCTGACAAAGTGTCCATGCGCATCGCTGATGGTCTTGACGAGCTTGGCTTCCTGTGAGAGATCCCAGCACCGGATAGTCTTGTCGTCCGCCACACTGACCAGATACTTGCCTCCCGGATGGAACACCAAGCCTCGTACCCAATTATCATGACCGACCAAGGTCTTGATAAGCCGTCCCCGCGAGTCCCAGAGTCTGATCGTCTTGTCACGAGCCCCGGTCGCAACGAACTCGGCTGAGCTGGTGGCAGGGGGAGGCTTCTTCAAGCCGGCCAAGGTTGCTAGATACTTGTAGCTGGCTGGCGGTGCGAAAACACAGCATTCGAGATAGTTCTCGTGACCCAATAACGTAGCCTTCGCTTCCGCCGTTGCAACTTCCCACACAGTGGCGGCCTGGTCTCGGCCACCCGACACCAGCCATTTCCCATCAAACGAAGGGGAAACGTCTCGAATCCAATTATCATTCGAACGGATTGTCTTGACGCAATAGCCTGTGGATGCGTCCCATATACGAATGGAGGCATCGCGACTGGCCGACACGAGCAGATTTCCGTTATTGGGCAGGAAGCTGACCGCCGAGACGGAATGGTCGTGTCCGGAAAGAGTGCGGATATTGGCATAGTCATTGCTAGGGTCCCATAGTTTGACTGTAAGGTCACTTGAGCAGGACGCCAGCAGTGTATGCCCTTTTTGTCCGCCATAGTCCAGACCCGAAACTGCCCGCATGTGGCCCTTGAGTGTCCTCTCCAGTTCGCCCAGTTCCCAATCCCAGATCTTGATGGTGCAGTCTTCGGAGCCCGACGCCAGCGATGTGTAGACAGGATGGAAGGCAACGCAAGTCACTGCATCGCGGTGCGACTGAAATTTGTGCCGCGCCGGTGATGAGGGGAGCCAGCTCGTAGGGTCTTGGTTTGGTCGCGATCGGGACGTCAGGGCCATGGAGTCCAATTCGGCCTGCAAGGTCGACACCTTCGACTCTAAGTCCATGATCTACAATGTCCGTCAGCGCATGCGAACCCCCCTCTCCCAGTCCCGCGCCCAGGGCAAGCAGTCTGTGAAGTCAAGCGGGGTAGGGAGAAAATGCTCGCACCTTCCTCTGTAGCCGAGCCACGCTCGTCCATTTTTTCTCTAGCAGCCCCTCATATTTCTTGCATGCGGTGTCGTCAAAGCCGTCGCCGATCGGGAGCTCTTCGCGTATGGTCGCAACGCTTCGGGTAGCATTTATGGAAGATAGATAAGCTATTAGGGACTTGTGCCTAGCCTTGTATCAGTGGATCAGCAGACAACTCAAATCGGAATTCGCAGAGAAGCTTACAGCTCCTCTGCTTGTCTTGTTGTCAACGTTTGACTCATGACGAGAGATATGGAGTTGGGTGGATTCAAAGCGATTTCGGGTTGCGGCCGCCAGAGGGCGACGCACTTCGTCACACAGACGAGCAATCGGGAGTGGTTGCTGTTGCGGTCACTGTGGCAGTCGGATGGAGGGATTGAGGGAGAAAAAAAGTTCAGAGCATGACAGAAAATCAGGGAGGCAGGATTTTAAAGGTTCGGGTGGTCAAACGCAAAATTGAGTGAATGGGAATCATGAATTCCTTTGCTTTGTATACAGTCGGTTTCGCGCGTGCAGCGCCCAGGGGCCGCGGGACCTGTGGGCACGTGTTTCCATCTAGAGTGGGCGGTGAAGGCAAGAATCCAATGAGGGAACATTTGGTCACAAGGCGGGGTATTGTGCTGCTGAGTCAGATCACTATGCTGCACAGTCTGCTTGCCGATGGTCGGTATCTCTCTACCTTCAGTAACACCATGATAAGGAAAGAATGTTAGTGTGACATTGGGAAAAGCACTTTGTTTGGGATACAACCTTCTTCTAAGACTTTGAAGATCTATGTCATAACATCCAGGTAGATACATGATCTACCCACCATGTAGACTGTGATCATGTGATTCTCTATCCTACATGGTATGGACCCCGGCTTCTTTTATTGCACATTTTAATGGTATCATAATAGTATCTAAGAAATCCGTTTATAGGTGAGTGACAAGTATTCACTTGTTCCCTTTCACTCCCATTGCGTGCCCTTCAGGCGCTGCATCAGATAATCAACCTCGACGACTTTAGTAAGGGGAATGACATATTCCTAAAAGACAATCAGTGAATATCCAGACCTCACAGGAGAGTATTCTCACCTTGTACATCGCAACCACCGCCTCCACATTGATCTTAAGTCCGCTCTCCGTGGGAAAGGCGGGATCGGTACCGTATGTCTTGGCCTTCAAGGCCAAGCGCTCGAGAACCTTCTGTTCGACCTTCGCATCGGTGATGGCAGCATCAATACCCTCGCGGTCGTTGGCCTTAATCAATTTGACGAAGCGTTCGGGTTCCTTCTGGAACTTGGCCTCAGCGACGAACTTGCCAAAATGGATGCGACGCGAAAGGGCCTGTAGACAGCTGACATCGCAGGTAGCGGAGGAGCCATAGTTTTCCTGAGTCTCGCCGCGGTCTTCACGGCCGAATTGAGCGCAGACGGCGGGAAGAATGTTCTCAATGTAGCGTTGCTTGATGATGCCATTGACGTTCACGTCATTGTCGTGCAAGATTTTGGGGTATTGCAGGGGCGCCAGGATAGGTTCTTCCAGAACCTCGGGGAAGAAAGGGTATTCATCGGGCGATTGGTAGCGACGGACGCGGGACTGAATGCGTTCCTGTTCGCGAAGCAGGTAGTCCAGGAGGCTGATATTAGTTTCAGGGATTGATACACCGCCGGGAGTGTAGACAGGCTTGTTGAGGGGAAATTGGACCCGTTCGATAAGATGAAAAGTGATAGTATCTTCAAGTCGGCTATAGGAAGCAGATTAGTGGATTGTTCTATGACCTCAGGGAGTGAGGCTGAGTTGTGCGGTATGCAACGAAATCGAAGCCATACAACGGTGGGGGGAGGGGGCGAGTAGCAGGGATGATGGTCGATGGTCTGAAGGATGAGGGGATCTTCGATAGTGACGGACGGACGGAGGGGCAGGATTATTTCCGGCTGATCGTTGACTCACATTAGCTGGAAGCGGATGTTGGCGAGATCCAACGCCTTGGAGGCATCGGAAAGGTCAATGGCTGTATCCATGATGTTGCAGGGTTATCAGTCTATGAAAGAAAGGAATCTAATCTCACTATCGGAAGCAGAGAATCGGCGACGTTGAGGTTTCAAACATTCCTTGGGAACGATATCGGATTTAAGTGCTGGGCAGGTTACAGAACCTACAGCACTAGCCTTGCCGATCATCACGGCTCTGTCTCGATTTTGCGAGCGACATATGGACTACATTCCGACAGCTGCAAATGTTATACTAGCTCAATGCGCGACAGCAGAATAAGATCCCAATATTTGGTTCATGATTCGTCGCCGGATTCCGATTTCAAGGCGCTGTGACAGGGAGGACTAAGTCACTTTTAAACCCGAAGTTATACATCTATACGTGGTAATTACGGTAATCTAAGTACTGCTAGGCCGACTTCGGGGTGCTGGTACCGTACCGTAGGCGGTAGGTAATTTATGATAATCACAGGTTTGTGGCTGGTGATGCCGTCATGTCATGTGCCTGCTCCTTTTCTTTTCCTTGCCTGCCTTGCCTAAGTCTGAAGAGGATGAATCGGTGATGGCGGGAAAAAGACTTTTGATTATATACGGGGATCTGGTGCACTTTTCTTCTGGCGTCATGTCGATTCTCTTCGGTTCTAGCGCTCACCTTCCATACTATCACGCACAGCCACCGTCCCCTTCTCCCTTCCTTGGGTGGAGACTGAGCTCGAGCTCTCTCCAGTAAAATACCACCCGAAACACGGTAATTCATCGCGTGCAACTCCGTCCATCCAGAACTTCTTTCCGCCATCTTCAAGGCTTGAAGAAAGCCGACCAACTGCCCGACTGACGACCGCACCCTGCTGAACGACCCTTTCTGCTCCCATCTCTACAATTTTCGTATGGGCCTGATTGTCTCAAGCTTTCCATCGCCCCCCTCGTCGGTGTCGCTGTCATGGACAGGCGCCGTCGTGATGATTCGCCTTCCGGTCTATCAGATATTGTCGAACAGGATGGTCTTTTAGGAACCGGCATCACGGTAGTGTTCTCTTGACGATAATGGCGGCAGAACAGATCAATACTGACATGGCACTCTTTCCGTGGATCAGACTCGTCATATTGAGGCCTTTGGACGGAAAGTCACATCGACTGCTGGGCATTTGATGGGACCGACTTCCGAATCTTCTAACGGCGGCCACTACCACAACGCCATGGTTGACATCCAGCGCGAGCTGCGGCGCCCTGCCGCTCAGCGCAATGTCTTCTCCCTGACCCAAACCACACCAACCGATTTGGTCCGCTCCAAACTGTCTACATCCGAGATCCAATCGCGAGCCATCTCCTCCCTTCCTGATGAGCTTCTCATGAATATACCTGAAGACAGCAGCTCCTACTCGCTCTTCCAAGGATTTCAAGCCTCCCAGGATGACATCGAATATAGAAAGGCCCACCGCCGGCGCTCGTCCAAGAGCAAGAAGCTATTGAAGGATGGGGAGACGCACGCCGCTTTACCTTCCGCGCCCACCGACTTGAGAAAGGAACGAGATTTACTTAACCGCAGGATGGACCTGATGGGTGTTCGCAAGAATATGTGCAGCTCGGAGATACATGAGATAGACAACAAGATCGCAAACTTGCACAACATGCGCAAGATCGTTCTAGACCGGTTAGCCAGCTTAGAGATGGAGGAAGCCGAACTGGAGCATGAACGTGAGTAGGAAATAAGATTACCACATGTGATTTCCACCAGCGGCTGACCAAGGCTTAGTGACGGAGGTTGATAATAAGTTGGAAGATATTGAGCAAGAAGAAGCAGCTCACGCGCAGGCTCAGGCCCCGGCGACCCCGAAGTCATCAGCAAACGATGACTCGACCGTTTCGGACGACCCGGCAATGGATGCCTCCTTCATGTCCGAGTCTATTTACCAAAAAATTCCTTCCCCAAAGAGCGTCAAGCAAAAATCAAAAAGTAAGTGTCCCCCTCTGCTATGCCGTGAGGGAACCCTAGCTGATCGAACAGGGAAACGCTCGATGCCGGTTTTACACGAACATTTCACCCCGGGTTCGGAGATCAAAGAGATGGCGGCCCATTCTGACATGGTCACTGCGATTGATTTCGACTATCCATTTGGTACTATGATCACCGCGGCGCTGGATGACACCGTGCGGGTTTGGGATCTCAATGTTGGCCGTTGCATTGGATTCCTGGAAGGGCACAATGCTTCGGTGCGCTGTCTTCAGATTGAGGACAACATTGTTGCCACGGGCTCTATGGATGCATCTGTCAAATTATGGGATTTGAGTCGCGCCCGAACGATAACTACTCGCGACAACCGCATCACCCGCCGCGATGATGGAGACGAAGAAACCGACCCAGCCGACGACGCTTCGGTGGCATCCCATTCTACCACGTTGGAGGACTGCTTCGTCTACTCATTGGATGCTCATGTCGACGAAATCACCGCGCTTCACTTCAAGGGCGACACTCTGATTTCGGGGTCAGCCGACAAGACACTGCGACAGTGGGATCTGGTCAAAGGGCGTTGTGTGCAAACGCTCGATGTATTGTGGGCGGCCGCGCAGGCGTCGTCGCTGGGAGGAGATTCGCAATGGCGCCCCTCAGGACGCCTGCCGGATGCATCGGCGGACTTTGTCGGGGCTGTCCAGTGCTTCGACGCCGCTTTAGCCTGCGGTACGGCAGACGGAATGGTCCGTCTTTGGGATCTGCGCAGTGGACAGGTTCATCGTAACCTGGTGGGCCACACTGGCCCTGTTACCTGCCTACAATTTGATGATGTGCATCTGGTCACTGGAAGTCAAGACCGCAGTATCAGGGTATGTTGTTTGTTTCTGGGTTCGATTGCTTGGATGCTAATTGCCTTCAGATATGGGATCTCCGAATGGGATCGATCTATGATGCCTACGCCTATGACAAGCCCATTACCAGCATGATGTTCGACACCAAGCGGATTGTTGCGGCTGCAGGAGAGAACGTTGTGAAGGTCTACGACAAAGCCGATGGCCATCACTGGGATTGCGGCGCCGGAGTCGGCGCTGATGAACAGGGCCCATCGCCAGCAACAGTGGAGCGAGTGCGATTGAAGGATGGCTTCCTAGTTGAAGGCCGCAAAGACGGTATCGTTGCAGCGTGGACATGTTGAGATGACCATGCATAACTATGACATGCAAAACCCTGCCACGGTACATGCTAGCATTTGGATGGTTTTGTGTTTTGTGACTGCTTTGAATGCCTCAGCGACTGTATATTATCTTGACGTTTGGCCCAACCATAGAAAGGAACCATGGCGTCTTACGGTAGGATCAGCCGTTGTAAACTAGTTTCTTATTGATACATGATGCCCTTCTCGTGGTCACTCCACTACCCGGTACTTAGAATTCCTCTTTGTTCGCATCTGAAACACGCTGCCTCAAGGCCATTTATAAAAATAGCTGAGGAAATAAAGAGCGTAGTCTGGGCTTCATGGACACTGGTTGTGAAGAAGCAACAAAGGGAAGAACCACCATATGGCGCAGGTGATTTGGTGCTTGAGACTGAGATCATTGCCACTCTTGCACTCCTACGTCCACACATGCCACAGGCATGTACAAGTTAATGCTCGTTGCAATCAATACCTACTGAAGGTACTCGTAGTATTGAGTAGTTTGCTTGTGGTCATGATATTCGTTCTGTATACTCGATGCACTGTACAGCGCGGACGCCGTGGTAACAGCCATTCCCGAATAGGCAGTTATCGATGTAACGCTCTGGTATCTGTAATATTGATATCCCTCCTCCATTCCACTTGGTCCAGTTCCTTTCCTCATCCTTGCTCCAGTATCTCCTTTACACCTTTTTTCTACAACAGCACATTTTCTGCCAGTTCTGACTTGTGTTACGCGTCTTTCTCATGCGCAAATTATCCTATTCCATACTGAAGCATATAAGCGAGGTCAACCCTCCGCAGCAACAGACGTTTGAAATCGCGAAACCCGCGCGTCCTCCTGCTCCCGCCGTCTCTGGCTCTTCTTCTCGGATGAGGACAGAACGATCTCCTTGAGGCTGTCAGGACAAGCCTACTTATCGCTTTCTTTGTGTCGCAAGGCACTCAAAATCTACTTCGATTATATTCAACATAGGTTGTCTCCGAACAAAGGACTCTTTGGTCACTTTGTTCTCACCCACCTTTCTCCGAACCATTCCTCGGGCTTCCTTAAGTCGTCCTCGCCGCATCTTCTCAAGCCCAGCTCGAATCTTTCACCTTGTGCAAACTTATGACTCAAACTATCCCTCGGCAAAGACTCTTATCTGTGCACTGAATTTACTTTTTGTATTTCCATTTTCCGGTTCTCATCGCGGCTGTCTGCGCATTCGTCGACTTTTCTTCCGAGGTTGCGGAGAGTTGGATTCGACACGGAATTTACGGGGTGAGTAAACAAGCGACGCTCTCACTTTTTCGGACCTGGCCTATTGCACGGATCCAAATCAAACTCAATGCACTTCCAGAAGGAAATTAACTCTGACTATTAAGAACATAGACATTCCTGATACGGTCTTTCGAGGTTAATCAAGATGCCTCCCAGACGCGGTTCCGTCAGGCAGAGCGGGTCAACGCCTCGCGCTGAGGGCGCTCTTTCATACTTTCAACACCAGTTGATATCGGACAGTCGAACACAAGCCTTGCCCAACCTTCCTACTAGACAATCATTTGCATATGGCTCGGCTGAAACGCCACTCCTGCCCCGGCAGCTGGTCCTCAACCCTCATATGGATTTGGTTGAAATGGCCGGCCAGATCGAGAAGGGTATTGAGGATGCAAAAGACCGGGAGCAAAGGGAAAGTGCGACGACTGCGGATCGCAGTCGCCGACGCAGGTCCTCGTCGGCAAATTTGTCATCGATCCGAAGAACACGCCGCGATCCAACTCCTGACCAAACGCAACTACTCGAATCACTCCGTGATGCGACAAGATCCCCCAGTCCTATTAATGATTACCACCCAAACGATCAGTCTACTGCTACTCCTACCCCTCCGATTCCGCATACTATATCGACCACTTCAAGTCCCGCACTGGACCCTGTCCCAGAATCTAGATATCCCCATGTACCTGCTGATAAGCTATACCCCTCGCCTTTGTTGCGCTCGGGAGTTCCAGCGCATGACGAGCCGCCATTGAGCAGCTTGTCTGGACTTGACAATGAGTCCGTAATCTCATACTCGATCGAGCGAGACATTCATGACGACGACTTGCGGCGGACATTGTCGGATGGCAAAAATATAACTGCACCTCCTCGCCGGGTCTCTGGAATGGCATTTGTTAAAGATGTATCGACTATTCACGAAGAGGAGGAACCAGACTCAAGACTTTCTCAGTACAAGTCATCACCGTTGAAATCACCTCCTGTGAAGCCACTTCACCCGCTGAAATCGGTAGTGGCCCAGAAGGCGCCTTCTCCGGAGAGATCTCCATCGCCGTCGAAGTCACCTTCACCTCCGAAATCACCATCACTTGCTAGATCATCATCGCCTTGGAGGTCTCTCTCACTCTCAAAGTCACCTTCACCTCTTCCACAATCGTTGCCGCAGAGAGCACCATCACAGGCTCCAACTCCCAAGAAGTCGCCGCTACCCCAGAAGGCTCCAACTCCCAAAAAGTCGCCGCTATCCCAGAAGGCACCAACGCCCAAAAAGGCGTCGCTCCCACCAACGGCACCAACACCCGCAAAGTCGCCTTCTCTCTCGCCAGTGTTTGAAGAAGGTGCGATGGAAACTACACCGGAGCCCGATTGGGAACCGCAACCAGAGTTTCTTAGGGAGGACTCCCCTGTGACCCAACCGTCAGCCCCTACCAAGACTTTCATTCCTCACTTTCACACAGACGAGGGATCTGCTAGGGAACAACCAGCGCTCAACCGGCCGTCGCTTTTTAATGAATGGCCTGATGTCGGGCCTTCTACGCGTGAGAAATTATCCACTGTCGGTCGAATCATTGCGCTGTTGGCACTGGCGATAGTGGTCCTGACTAGTTCTAAATACCTGGGCGGAATGATTCCATTCGGTCAACCCCGGTATTATGGACCAGTGAACGGGACGGGCCTAGATGCGATCAGCAGTCTCAGCGCACAGATGTCCAAACTAGGCTCACAGGTATCAACCCTATCGCGGGACATTAAAACAGTCAAAGCCGATCTTCGAGCACAGCCGACAAAAGGTGTATCCACTGGGACACTTCTTGGCACGTACATTCCGAAAACTAATTTCTTAGCTGTACCACTTGGGATTTTAATTGACCCTCACAAAACGAATCCAACTGTGACGCAGCAGATCGGTTTCAGGAGGAAAGTGTACAGTTACTTTATGGAAGAGAATTTTCGCCGCCCGCAACCCCCGTTGTCCGTCGCGACAGCGTGGGAAGATATTGGAGACTGCTGGTGCAGCGTCCTGCGCGACGGGATGACCCAAGTTGGTGTTCTTCTTGGCTATCGAATCGTCCCTGAAGAAATTGTTGTCGAGCATGTACCCAAAGCAGCGGCACTGAACCCTGGACTTGCTCCCAGAGACATGGAGCTCTGGGTCCGATTTCGCCGCGTTAAAAATGACACCTTGGTTTATCCTGATCAGACGTGGGGTAGTTATCTCACGGCCAAAGCCAACCCGATGCCTCGCCCCAAAAATATTGCCGGGCAGGACAACTTGTTCAATGATGAGCGTTTCGTCTTGCATGAGCCCGTTATGCATGCACTTCAGCTGGCCTACCCCGGCGAATCGGAAGAAGCCTACTGGGGTCAGTATGATGAGTGGCTCGGGCCAGCTTGGTATCGTGTCGGAAGATGGACTTACGATATCAACTCGGATCAGCATGCGCAACGTTTCATCCTTGATGCTGTGATCGATGACCCAGAGATTCGCGTGGATAAGGTCGTCATACGCGCGAAGAACAACTGGGGGGCCGATAACACATGTATCTATCGGGTGAAGTTGTTCGGCAAAAAGTAGTCTCCTTGGCTACTTTTTACCTTTCTCTTCTTGTCTTCTTCTCATTACTGGTATTTCCACGTCTCTTATTTCTCTTGCGACATTTTCTCGTTATATGTCTCTATTCCTGCAGGCGTTCTCTTTCAATATGCATAGGCACGACCAATCAATTGAGGCGCATTTGGGACAGAATCAGCCGGAGTCCTGATTTTTGGGTTTATGTTTCCTTTGATAGGATGCGAATGGCGTCTTTGTTTCTCTTCTCTTGAGCTCAGAGCTGGTCGATTTCAAGCGGGCTGTTTGCAATAGATACCATCCGGCGAAGTCATACATATCACTTGAACTGATATTTGTTGTTTCTTACATCGCCACTTACCATTTTACTTTTTGTTCAGATCGATAGACCAGTACACTAGTATTTTAGGGACCAATGGAAGACATCCTTTCACTCAAGGCCATTCTAAGCGTGTCTCTCCTCGATGACTTGACTTGCTAAATCGTATACTGAAAGTGCAAGCTCTCACCAACTTGCCTTTGGAAGTATAGTCTATCTCAACCAGCAGGACTGTTTAGGAGGGGGCCGCCGGAGCCACACATCGCGACTCCAGAACTGTAAACGGTCACGGGACATAGAAAAAGCATGTGAGGATCAGGCTAGCAGAGCTACTGCCTGTCAAAGGCCATCTCGTTCACTCGATCATAAATTTCCGAGGCTTATCCTACCATCTCTTTGGGATAATAGCTCTCGACCCCCGGGAGTTTCAGTCTGCGTCATCGCCTTAACTGCACGCCCGCCTCTTGTAACAGACACTTTGGGGATCTGCCACGCCCGTGCCTGTTTTGTCTCTCGACCATCTCGCTCGTCTTGTCTATATGGGCGAGGCTCTGGGGATAGGTTCAGTTGGAGGGGTCGTTGCTGCATCGCATACATCCCTTGCTTCTAGCTTCTCAGAGGACCTGGGGGATGAGATGAACCTCCGACCTCGTCATTGCCTGCCTTGAGCAACGTATCACTTAATTTATACCTGGCAGTGACAGTGAGATCCACGCTTTTACATCAAGAAAATAAGGTTGACGAGGTTACACGGCTCGTGTAGGCCATCTAGTCGATCCTTCCGAAATCTCTAGAAGCTTATATACTGGCTGCACTGCCACTGTATGCGATGTCTGGAAACCACCAAGATGATTCTCGCTCGACGAAGCTTCGGCAATCGAGCATGCGCAACGCTTCCAAAGCATCATCTGGTAATCATGATCAATTCTTCCGTGATCCTCGTCCGCAGCCCGACGAGACCTCTGTTCTGCTCCCGAACCCTCCCACCGCATGCCCATCCCACGAGCAGGACGAACGGTACGTCCCCACCTTCCTCGGCGAGGTCTTTCGATTGGCGAAAGACTCCATCCCCGTGATCCTTGCCTACGCGCTCCAGAACAGTCTGCAGGCGACATCTATCCTGATTGTGGGACGCACGTCACCCGAGAATCTCGCCACGGCGGCTTTCTCGTTCATGTTCGCCGCAGTCACCGGATGGATGATCGCTCTCGGAGGCACGACGGCGTTGGATACGCTGGCATCGTCGACGTTCACCGCTAGCTCGAACAAACATGATCTGGGGATCCTGTTGCAGCGCGGGTTTCTCGTCCTCGGCCTGTTCTACCTCCCGGTTGCGGGGCTGTGGGCTTGCTCAGAGCCCGTCTTTCTCCTGTTAGGGCAGCAGCCCCAGCTGTCGAGGGATAGTGCCCGGTTCTTGACTTGCTTGATTCCGGGCGGGCTGGGGTATATATACTTTGAGTTGATGAAGAAGTATCTTCAGGCGCAAGGTAGTGTGGAACTCTAATATCACTCAATAAAGAAAATAGCGGTTAACCTATCGAGTAGGCTTGATGCGTCCGGGAACATATGTCTTGATGATCACGGTCCCGTTTAACCTCTTCCTAAACTTCCTCTGCTCTTACACGCTTCGTTTGGAGATGTTGGGTGCCCCGATCGCCACAGGCATCTCGTACTGGCTGTCTTTTGGGCTGCTGATTCTGTATACACGTTTCGTTGCTGGGTCCGAATGCTGGGGTGGCTGGTCGTGCGAAGCACTCCGGAACCTGGGGACCTTTGCGCGCTTGGCCCTCCTGGGGGTCGTGCAGATTGGCACGGAGTGGTGGGCTTTTGAGATCGTGGCCTTGGCCGCCGGTCGACTCGGGACCATCCCCTTGGCCGCGCAAAGTGTCATCATGACAGCGGATCAGGTACTCAACACGATTCCCTTTGGGGTAGGTGTGGCCGCATCCTCGAGGATCGGGAATCTGTTGGGCTCGCGAGATGCCGCGGGAGCGTCCCGGGCAGCAAATGCCGCCGCTTGTTTGAGCATGGTGCTCGGAGGGATTGTGCTGGTTGTGCTGATGGGCACCCGTCGCGATTTCGCAAAGATAGCCAACTCTGATGCAAGGGTCGTGGAGCTTACGGCCGAAGTCCTGCCGTGGGTGGCGCTGTTTCAGATCGCTGATGGTCTGAATGGGAGCTGCGGTGGGAGCCTTCGGGGCATGGGACGGCAGCATGTTGGCGCGTTGGTCAATCTGGTCAGTTACTATGGTGGTGCTCTACCGTTGGGGATCTGGCTGGCCTTTCATGGCTGGGGGATCAAGGGTCTCTGGATTGGGCAATGCATTGCGCTGTATCTGGTCGGCGCTCTGGAATGGACGGTTGTGGCTCTGAGTGACTGGGACAGGGAGGTCGATAAGGCATTTCTGCGAATCGATGCTGACAAACAGGAAGACCGGCAAGGAGCTGTTGAGGGTATTGCTGTTGGTGTGTGAGGTGACTCGAGATGCACTGGGACGGAGAATCAGGCTAGGCTCCTATCCTGCTATTTATGCAGTATATTCAAGACCAGCTTGCCTGATCCTATGAGCGCCAGCCTAGGCACTTAGAAGTCTCCAGATCCTCGAGAGAAGATCTTGTCAAGGCCAATAACTAACCGGAGGGGTCCGGTGTTGTGGAGAGGCAGAGAGGAAAAGCTAGCTTCGAGGATGACTCGTGCCTGAGACCAAGCAGATCTAATCTGAGCTGGAGGCGAAGTATATCTACACTTTCGAGTTTCGTATCATTGCTGTTATCACTAGCTTGGGTGTAGGCCAACCAAAAGGCAGGAAGATAGAATCCGAGAAGAAGTGTCTGGGTCAAGTCGCGTTGTCGAGGTCGGGTCTAAGGAGGTGAGTCCACATGATGAGCTTCCTTTTTCAGCCGCCTTCCACATTGTTCAAGCTTACTCAGTACATCAATCCAATAACCCCATGACTAAAGACTGCAGTCCTTTTCCACTTCAGCGCGAGTGAATAATCTACATCCGCGGTAGGGTGTACATTCCAGTTCGACATGTCGACTCTACATCGAACGAATAAGTAAGTTGACTCCATAATACGGATAGCAATGTATCACATCGCCCCTTGCATAAAAGGCAAAACGCCACATATGACGACAGTAGATAAGATGGAGCTCCACTGCTTGATCGGAAAAGGTCAGGTCCAGGCCGAGAGACCGCCCTGACAATCGCAGGAGGATTTTTTCATGACTGACAGGCGGATCTGACGATGTGGCTGTATACTTCCTCAACAATTTTGCGCGATCAGTCCAACGGTCATTCGCAAGGCGCGAGGTGGCTATTGATGGTATTGTATCTTTGCCTGTGGCTGCGCGCTCCGCAAGAGTCTTTCTCGTAATTGCTCGTAGAGCCCTGGAGTTCATATGTTTTATGCGTCCTTGCATAGAGTTTTTCGTTTCTGGCTCTAGGTGAAGAAAAAATTGGGTCCGCCCTTGCTGCCGGTCGTCCGTCCGCTGGGGATGGTTGACGTGCGCAGGGAGACTTCGGGCTAGCGGGAAGGAAGTATAATGCTTTTTTTAGGTGGTATGGGATCTATAAGGTCGAGATGTATCCTTGCAGGCTTGATCGGTCGGGGAGGCTCAGTTCGATATTTGTAGTTGCGCTCTAAGAGAGATGAGGGTCTAGATCTCGGATTATGGGGATATTGGGCTTGAATGGAATGCTGTGACCGATCGCCTGTGAGACGTATAGGCCGGTTGATAGCCTGTGACTTCGCTATAATTCATGTTGGTGGCATGTGGGCGTTCGTCGGCGTTGTCAATGGATCTGTTTAACTCGAGGTGGAGTTGGGAACGTTGCTGAAACACAAGGACCACCCCCGTCTGGAGAGCCCAAGAACCCATGGAACCAAACCATCTCACTGACACGTGTGGATATGCTCCCCTCTCCAGATCGGAGACAATCTTTTCCCGTAGTGGTGCTCTGGGCCATTGCCGGACTGGTCGAAGATCGGCCGGCTGGGCAGATCAAGAGAGGGTCGCGGAGAAAGTTCAGGGGGGCAAATCCAAGTCAGGTCAAACTCAAGCGAGATCGGTCCTGTACTAGCGGAGGGCTGTCACTGATCGCTGCGATTTGGGGTCATAACTACGAAATATGCCTTTGTCGGTGATTCTCTGTCAAGATGAAGCAGACTTCGAGATAGTCCATGCCTGAGTAAAGGCGATGGAGCAGAGGAATGCAGAGCGGATCTTGCGAAGGCTTGGTTCGCCTTGGTTGGGCTGAGGTTGGGGTCAGTATTTGCCTCCTCCCCCCTTCAAGATCGCAATATCTGAAAAGTGCCCGTGCTGATAATCTGGCAAGGCTGGAGGGGCTTAACGGTCAACGGTTGGATCGAAGTTGTCCTAAATTTGGATCAAGGGTCGCCTTCTCGCCTTCTCAGTTCCTTGATTCCTTGATTCTATATCGACTCGTACGAGTAATTTGTTCTTGCTGTTGGGAGTCGTGCATTTGAACAAAAGAGTCTCTTCCCGCCCGGCTGTCCCCTCTTGTAGATTACATTTATCATACACGTGACATTGCACAGATTAATTACCTCCTTTCTCTGCCCAAGTATCTGCTTAGTCTAATCCTGCTTATGAATCCCTAACAATCCCCTAATAATTGTTCCAATATCGCGTTCTACAAGCAGAGGATATTTGATCATGCAAC